TATATATCTATGTATATATCTATATATATATATATATATATATATATATATATATATATATATATATATATATATATATATATATATATCTATATATATATATATATATATATATATATATATATATATATATATATATATATATATATATATATATATATATATATATATATATATATACCTATTGACATCAATGGTGGTATAATCTGGCAGAGTATTAAACCACGGCATCCAATCAGCTAATAGCCACTCCTTCATCCCCTTACAATAGGCAGACCTCTGCATTTCTGATAACCCCCGTCCATCCACTGCTTTGTGCCAGTTGTGTAGACGCTTTGTGATGCATGCATCAGTCGTGTGACCTTTCCGTTCCAGAAAAGAAATAACACCAGGACTTATGAGACGCTCACAATCTGGCACAGACTGCTTGTTCTTTCCTGTTAGTGCCTTGTATGTCAAACCGGTTGAAGGATCATGTAGGGCATCTCTGAGGTGTTGTAGGTCTAAGCCTGGGATGTGCCCTTCTCGAAGCCTTGAAACTATACGCTTCAGCAGATGGTTGTGATCCTCACGATGATGTACTCTCTCGCCATTTGCATCTTTCTCTGGCTGGTATAGGTGGTCAGCAAAATTAGCAGGATCACTGGCATGATTCTTGAGATCATCAATACTTTTCCGATAGATTAAAATAGCCATAATAGATTTCATAGAGGTCTTCCTATCAAAATACGACAACACATGTTGGTTCAGTGGCAGGTAAAATTAGCTGGCATTAGACAGACATTTCTTGCAATGTTTCCGGTTAGGTCTGCGGTATAACAATTGCTTATGATAACATCACCCGCGACAAATACCAACCACCTAATACAAATCAAACTAATTACAGTGTGTATAAAAAAAACGGTAACTGTACCTTGCACCCAAGGGTGTGGATCATGCATAAATGGGAATAATTTCCTTCGTAACATGCGAACAGCATTTTCAAATAACTCTGGATCTTCTTCACGTTCAGATATGAATTCATTCAGCCATAGGACCTCTGACAGGGGAACAGCTGCATGTGAACAAATTGGATTACCTATTAAAAAAATAAATAGCTACAGCTGTTTTCGACTGGAAATATAAACAGAAACTCTACTCTACTCAATTACAGTTCAATTACAGATATTGGACGTGTAATTCCCATTGTTCGCAAAGAATTAAATTCCCCCGTCTGTTGTGAAACCTGGACAAAAAAATCATACTCAAATCGATAAATATGCAAGTACACAATTCAGCATTTCTCAGCATTGGGCTTATATTCGGGTGTGTTTATATTTAGGTGGGCTTATATTTGGAATGAGGTGAGCATTAGTACATGTGGTAGGCTTATACACAGGGATTATATTCAGGGGGGCTTATATTCGTTGTTTATGGTCATTGCATATACAGCAATTTCCGGATGGTTTTGTCAGATACAATAAAATGCTTGTTTAGGATACAGCAGCATTAGCAAATTTTAAAATCTCTTTCAGTGAAATATTAAACAATGAAATACTTTCTTTTGCATGATAATTCCATTATTTCACTCAAAAATATTTTAAAAATTTCACTGTAGCTGTATTAATTTGGTGTTGAGATTATCAACCACTTAGTCAAACTAAGACGAAGGATTATAGAGAAATTCACCACACACCTACAACTATCATCCCTTTACTTCTCATAGCATCTTCTAACTGAATTTCAAGCTCCCTTAATTTGCCATCGGTTAGTGATATATATGACATGAAGGGGATGGCATATGGCTTGCGATTTCTCAGCTCATTTGCAATCATAAATACCAGTAAATGAGTCACAGCTACTCGTTTCTTAGAAAATAGTCGTTTGAGGTAATTAAGAAGCTCCAACTTGATTGCACATAAATCAACATCTTCATCACCACCAACACAAATGCATCCAATGAGATCATCATTTCTTAATGAGATCATCAAATCCAGTAGCAGCCCAAGCTAATTCCATCATTGATTTCTCGATTGTCTTACCCTCTTTAACTGCTTTAGTGTATGCTAAGTTGGCAGTTTTGGAACCAGTTTTTAGAAAATCTAAATCATGCTGTTGGTCACTTTGCACTTTGTCTATATCTTTAAATGTCCAATTCAATCTCACAGATGTGCCAATACTCCTAACAAATGAACATCTTGCCTTGTATTCATTGAACAATATTTGCAATGACCCATCACCCAAATCCTCGTCTCCAGCCCATTTCCCACGCACACTTTCTCTTAAACCTTTCCGAATATCGCAACCATCTGCCTTGATCCACCACCGTCCCTGCGGATTTGCTTCTTTAGCTTTCTTGAGTGTCGCCACCTAAGGATTGAAATATTGAAACTAAAGTTAAGTGAATCGATTTACTGGCAGTACTCTTCCAATGACAAGTAAAATCGTCTGGTGTTATTAAGAGTAAATACTAAAGCAGGGCACATTTGAGCACATGGGGGAATTATGACCAATTGTTCATAAACAAATATAAAAGCTAATTTGGGCCTGACACATACAGGTGATAGATTTGTCGGTCCACATACAAATGATGTTAACCCCATTAAAATGCAAAACTCTTCCCATGACTTTCCCATTAGGGTGCATTCCATCTTAATGGGTTAACTACAGAGACAAGTAGTAATTTACCCAGGAGTAGATGTATTGAACAAAAGCTAAAAAGGCAATGACTTCTCTGATAATCTCACTTACTTGAGTATCAACAGTTTTTCTGAATCCTGAAGACCCAATGTGCTTTTGAATCTGTCGAGCACTTATACTTGCAATGTTAACCTTACTCTATAAATATAAAATTAATTGCAAAAATTATCAGGACTGGTTAGTTCCAGTGTGCCTAGATATAAGATAGACAGAAATAATTTCATGATACTTTATTGTTAATACTGTATGGGCATATACAGTACATGTAATGTACACAGTACATGTACTGTACATATGACAAACCATACAATATTGGCAGATGATACTATAAACTATTACAGTATTAGAATCTATTTCCCACCAACAAAGAGCACTGTGGTGCTCAGCTCTAACAAGTAAATACAGTATTTGTAATACAACTGACCTTCAAAGGATCATACATATCTGGGTTGTGTTGTCTAAGACTCCCCTTGCCAGTGGCTTGTATACCATGTAATTTTTCCAACTCTTTACAAGAAACCAATCCCAGGGCCATATCCTGTTTGTCCCCTTTAGACATGGAAGTCCACAAATGTGACACCTGCAAAGGTTCTTCTTCACTGACAAATTCTGGAGAAGGAATACTGGGGGAATCAGTTTGGAGATCTTCACAGCTTGTAGGTGTGGTTAATGCATTGTCACTAATAGACAAGTTGCATATGCTCAGGTCGACATGTTCTATCATTTGAAGATAGTCTTCTTCATTGACAAATTCTGGAGAAGGAAAAATGGGTGAATCAGTTTGGAGATCTTCACATGTTGTAGGTGTAGTTACTGTGTTGTCAGTAATGGACAAGTTGCATATGCTCAGGTCGACATGTTCAAATATTTCAAGACCTTCTTCCATGTCAGAAGGAGCTGTATCCAAATCAATTGATGAATGCTGCAATGCCTCTTGGATAATGTCAACTTCTACCACATCAGTACTATGTTCAGGATCATTTGCAGTTGGCAAATCTTTTTCCCAGATTGCACCTCTCTCGTACTGCCACATTGGTCCCCTATGTAGACATAACCACTTATGGCCAACTGAGTATACATTGTCTCCAGCCATGAGGCATAATGTTCTTCCATATGAAGATTAACTGTTGTATCACTGGCAAAGAAGCGGATATTGTAATCGATCAAACCATATGGCATCCGATTTAAAGACATTCTTGGGCTTGTACCTTCAAAAGACTTGCTCAAGCCATAAATAAGATTGGGTTTACTGTCACGAAAGAGTGTTTTCGTCGCTCCAAGGCTTCTTGTCAGGAAATCATTGTTGACAAATCTGAAGAAGTCTTGGGCATCTTCAGCAATAACACACTGCTTAAATATGTGATGCAATACTTGCATCTTCATCTGCAATGACATTGAGCTTGAAAAACATAATACAAAATCTTTTATCACATCGCCAACAGTAACAGAACTTGTATGTCTTTTTGCACCAGCATTTGGGGAACAGTTGAAGATAGGTGATAAACATTCATCATTGACAAATCTTGGTGGACTACTTGGGCAAGCATTATTATCATCAAATGAGGAGGAATTGAGCAGGTAGTCAATGTTCAGTGCCTCCTCTGCCTCTGACAAACATTTGTATTGTTGTTTGGATAGATGTTTTGTGACCCTTGTGCGACATGATGGACCTTTGAAAGAAAACAGAATGATGAACACTAGCTATTGCACTTAAATTGTATGTGCAGTATTCCAGGAACATTTAATAACATGGCTTGGGGCTTGGGCAAGGCAATGGCATGCTCGCTGAATGCAACCAAAAATAAAAGCATTTTATACCACTAACATCTATATAATATTAAAATACTTCACCTGACTGCTGGTAAATTAGTCAGTCTAGAATAAAATCCCCACATGTGCCAAAATAGCATCCTCCTGATCTCTGTTCATCCTCCTTTATCATGCTTAAAATTATAAATAATAGATATGCTATAAAACATTAACATTTTGCTAACCTGTTCTAGTAGAGTTGCATGCCTTGTTCACTGCACCTGCCACAGCATCCCAGAATTTTGTGTCACTTTGCATAGGCCATCGGTCCGAGTAGGCATCTTCCCAATACAAACAAATATACTGTACTAAAGCAGAAGTTTCTTCTTCTGACCATTCCCTGTGTCCAGATGACTTGGGTTTTTCAGAAAAAAGGCTTTTTCTCGAAGTTTCCTTGGTTGCCACTCGCTTATTTTCAGGCTTACCTGGCGTATTGCCTTCCACAGCAATAGACCGTTTAGAAGCCATACTAGGTATCGCTAGAAGTATAGGACAAATTCAAAACCGAAATATTACATGATGCGATGGAGAGCGTTTATACACCGATCTAAACAAAGAGTTAAACAATCGATTTAGGCTATTTTCGCGTGTCAAACATTCACCGATAAATTCTTAGTGCAACCCAAAGTAGGAGTTAACATTTCACCACATGAGTGCGTCTATTTGTTACGTGTCTGCACGCGTTCAATATATGAAAATTTTATCTTGAAAACACATCTTTACTTTTATAAGACATATATCGTGTATATAAAGTACAATGCATAACGTTATACTGGTAAAATAAACGAGAAAACAAGCCTGAAAACTTACCAGATTACAACTCTTTCGTCGCCATATTGGAAAATGTTTGCCCATCATGCTTTGCACTGCCAGTTCGCACACCGCCTGGTCCATTTCAAATAAAATTTGGGCTCTGATTTGTTTTGGTCGAAGATTTCAGAAGTGACCAGAAACATTTGGGATTTTCAAACATTGACTCTTTTAGTTTATTGACGTGATCACATTTTTTCTTGGATATAAGCTTTTTTGTTTAGCGTCAGAGTAACCTAAATCTTTCTAAGTCATCAGTGTGTTTTGTCCTTAGCAGCTTTTTTCTTTGCTTGTTTTTCTTTTTCATGAGCTCCAGCAACTCTTTATCGATCCAAGGGTGATCGTACACGTTTCTTGAGGAACATTTAGGGATATAATCATGAACGATTGAGAGAAACAGGTCACACCATTTTGAAAGGGAAGCATCAATGTCCTCTGGAACAAAGCATGCATCAAAGGGGGTATTTAATAGCGTGTCCTTGAGACCAGTCCAATTAGCTTTTTTGAAGTTGAAAACCTCACACTTGACTTTAGGCTTTTTGTTGATTTTAAGGTCGAGTTCGAAACTAATAAGTTTATGATCAGTATTCAGGATGTCTTCAAAACCTTGAACATTTATGACTTTATCTGGTAAATTGGTAAAAACTAAATCCAGGATGTTATCGGATCTAGTTGGAAAGTCAACGAGCTGATATAAGTTGTTGTCTTTAATAGTTTTAGTGAAATAGTTGTGAATACAGTCGTCGTTAGTAGCTGAACCAGTAGACCAATCAATATGTGGAAGGTTGAAGTCTCCGCAAATGACTAAATGGTCAAACTTTGCTTTGATGGCAAGGTGAAGTGATTTCTTAAGATCTTTTATGTGGTATATGTCGGTGTTAGGCAGTCGGTAGAATGCAAGAAACAAAAACTTTTTCTTGGATTCAAGACTGATTTCGCAAGCTACAATTTCCGCATTTTCGCTCTCAAGATCTTTCCTTCCAACTCTGTCTTGACGGTGAATAGCAAAGTCGTTTCCTGGTAAAAGTTCACAGTTTAAAATGTCGGGTTTAAGCCAGGCCTCGTTACAGCGATTATGTCAATGTTAGGTGCTAACGTTTGAAGTTCTTTCGTTTTATTAGATAAACTTCTGGCATTAAAGTATAAACATCTGATATTATATCTGTTTGGATTTTGATCATTACCAGCATTGGGGTAACGGTCGGACCTGGATTAGATGCAATATCCATATAAATGGTAATCAGGTATCAATGTAACAGTCCACCAAACTGTGACAAATGTAGCCATGTTTAAGCCAGGTCGAGATTTTGGGAGAGTAGATAGAACCAGCCAAATGAGAATGTATATATCAAGAGACCACAAACAGTACACAAAATTGTTTTGTCAGTTTAAAATCAATGTGTATGCAAACACCATAGTGCAAATTTGAGTTTACATTATACAGTCTAATTTAGCAGAGACTCTTGTGTTCAGAAAGATGCAGTCATCTTTTGCTGACAGGTTAAGAAGATGTAGTCATCTTTGCATAATTAGTTGAAGGTATATGTTTATAATCTATACACATCGTATTAGGCACGAATCATTGTATATGATGTTGCAGGCAGCTACATACAGTATAGGGTCTGTATATACTATAGAGTTATAATTCAACAAACCTTATTTCTGTGCAAATTGCATGATTAGAACTGGCCAGCCAAATAGTGAAATAGAATGTATATGTCAAGGGACCGCAAACAGCACATGAAATCATTTTGTTTTAAAATCGGTGTGCAAATGCCAAAACTAGCGCAAATTTGAGTTTACATTATAAAGTATAATTTAGCGGAGACTCTTGTATTCAGTCATGTTTTGCTGACAGGTTAAGAAGATGTAGTCATCTTTGCTTAATCAGTTGAAGCTAAATTTTTATAATGTATACACATCCTATTATGCATGAATCATTGTATATGATATTGCAGGCAGCTACATACACTATAGGTCTGTATTACCATACAGTTACAATTCAACAAATCTTATTTCTGCACAAATTGCCTGATTAGAACTGGCCAGCCAAATAGTGGAATAGAATGTATATATCAAGAGGCTGCAAACAGTACACAAAATCGTTTTGTTTTAAAATCAGTGTGCAAATACCAAAGCTAGCACAAAGTTCAGTTTACATTATGAAGACTAATTTAGTGGAGACCCCATCCTCGTACCCAGTGTCATTTTGGGAAAGACCCTGGTATCGGCTGGTCATGTGACTCTACAAAAATTGATTGCCCAAGGGGGAGTGGCAAAGTATCAAATTACATGCTTCCACAGAAAACGTTAAATTTCAAATACCAGGAGTGGGATTTTACGACTATAGTTTGAAGCGGCCGCTAACTTCTATTTTATACCTCTGTTTGCTTTTAAATTACAAAAACACTGTAGCATTTTATCAACAGTCATTTATTGAAGTCAAGAAACAAATAAAATGTATACTTTAAACTTTGAAGTTCGGTATTCCCTTGAAACATATATTCATATCAAACTGGTCAGTCATCAACGTTTGCACATTTTCACTTTTATCTGTTCCGAAAATATGACATTAGATTTGTTGTTTGAAAACGTTGATAAACTTTGTGCAGATTTACTTGTAGTACGCGTCTCATTTTATAGTGAAGGTTGATAAAATTTTGAAATGTAATTAACTTTTTGTCACAAATCACAATGTAAACATGTGGACACTGCCGAACAGAGACTAAATGCTCACTTTAAAACTGTCGATGGTTTATCTTTGAAAATACTTTTAATTAAATAGTTCGTCATATTTTTTTAAAAACCCTGTAGATCGATAGGGTAGGAGGTTGGCAGGTAGTAAAGTACAACAATTTTCAGCCTCAGGGCGTGTATCATCAGGCGGTATATACAATCACGGCTTTAGCCTGATAATTTTTTGGCCTCCATGCACTAAGTAATGGGGTAACAGCAATATTTATAACAGTATTTTTCTGATATACAGTACACACTTTATAATATGAACATAGTCATAGATAATTCCATAAACCACGGAATAAACAACGGCATAAACACTGATATCACACTCAGTCTGATATGCATATGCAGTCATATATAGTCATATGTACCCACCACAGATATATTAACATTTACATAGTCTTAGACTTTGATTCAGTATTATATTTCACAAAGTACTTCATTACAGTAAAGTAATTTCATTACAGTAAAGCTATTTAATATCAAATTTATCATGAGGACTGCATTCTCTAAATGTCCTAAATGTCAAACATATTCAGTATTCGTATTTGTAACATACACACACAGACGATCGGTCTTTCACTTATCTTTGAGTAGGCTATTGTCGGATTATTTTACCGTAGGTTTGATAACAGGGAGGTATACTTCGACATATTTCTTGAGCATCAAGCTCTGAGGATGGTTCTGAAGTTTCAGCAGTCTGAGTAGCATTGTTTACAAAGCAACATAGTTTGCGATATTTCAGAAATCAAAAGATCTCTATATATTTCGTTACACATCTCAGTATTAAATAAATCCTTTAGGATAGACATCAACAGCTAAATAACAGCCACATCGGTCGGTACTGGTGTAGAAATATATTTTCTTGTAACGTTTGCGACGTGTTGATTTCTTCGACGACCTGTATCGGCATAATTTGTCTATTGAAATCTGATCTATCTTTGCTCACCAACATTCTGCGCACAATGAAATTTGATATTTTCTCTTGTGTAACATTGATAGTCTTCGTGACAAATAAAATATACAATTTTGTAAATATTTCCTGCATGATTTCTGGGTTATTTCTTCGCTCACTCCTTGCTCAATGACAAAACGTACTTAGGTACCCACCCTAATTGAAATTGTTTGTTATCTCCCAGATTCTGGGAGACATGTGACCAGCCGATAGGAGGGTCTTTCCCAGCCGGTGGAAAGTCCCTGCGACGGAGGTTGTGGAGACCCTTGTGTTCAGAAAGGTGCAGTCATCTTTTGCTGACAGGTTAAGAACATGTAGTCATCTTTGCTTAATCAGTTGAAGCTAAATTTTTATAATGTAAACACATCCTATTAATATGTATGAATCATTGTATATGCATGATATTGCAGTTGCAGCTATATACAGTATAGGTCTGTATTACCACCATATAGTTATAATTCAGCAAACCTTATTTCTGCACAAATTGTACTGATTAGAACTGACCAGCCAAACAGTGAAAGAGATTGTATATATCAAGAGGCCAAAGCTAGTGCAAATTTGTGTTTATATTATAAAGTCTAATTTATAGTGGAAACTCTTGTATTCAGAAAGATGTAGTCATCTTTGTTTAACTAGTGTTGAACCTAAATCTTTATAATAAAAACACAGTTCAGTCAGCCTTGAATCGGTTTTGCCGTTCACAACGTCATACTAAATACAGTGTATGGCGTATTCCAACTCACACAACTGAAGTAACCCATTTCTTAATATTAAACGAAACACCACATGCTATTTTTCAATTATGTGTGTGAATACAAGCAGATTGACAACAGTGTTGTCAATTAGTTTAATGTAATTTAGGTCTAATTGCATCTGAAGAAACGCACAAATTTTGCGCAAACCAACACAATTTTTTGGCCATCCAGATTCTCATGTTATGGAGATAGTAATCATGGTCTTTTGAATCCCATGTAAACACCATCATCAGCAGGGTATATGTGTTTTATTGCCATTACAACACAAGATGGGCACACCCTTCAGTTTCCTCTACCCAACTTTCTATTTTGCCATAAAATGTACTGAATGAATGGATAATTTAATACTCTGAGGTGATACAATAATTTACAACAAAATACATTACACAAATGTAGAGTAAAGGCTACAAAGAAATAACCATAAGGGCTAATCAAGCTAAGTAGCACATTTAGACAAAAGACACAAGCGAAAGACGAAATGTATATACTGTATATAATCAAATCACATGCATTAAGGCAAAGACAAAGTACAATGGACGCAAAAGAATATATCATCAAAAATATCACAAATGGAAACCGAATTTAGTCATTATAAGCTTGAAGTAGAGAGTTTTTAAATAATTTTTTGAAGTTATATATTTGCTTAGAGATTTCAATTTACTATCAGATTAAACTACCACAGTAGCGCAGATTAAACTGACCATAATCTGTCCGAATTTTTGGAATATATAAAAAAAATTTTGTAGAAGATTAATTTTATAATTATGTACTTCGGAAACATTTTGAAAGAAATTATCAAAGACAGCAGGTAAATTACCCACGTGGAAGTCAAACAAAGCGATAAGCAGCCTTTCGAAAGCTGTTTGTGGAGTAGTCTGGTTCCTCTGCCCTAATGTACACCACACCTTCCTCAATAGCCATGACCAACACATCCCTGTCTGTGCAAGTGTTTTGAAATGTAACACATCTGATTTTTTTGCAACATTTATTTTCCATGTGCACCATGGTGGCCTTGTGTCAGGAAAAACAGTAGGATTTCCACAAAATTCCAGGAGGTTCTTTGTGTAATCAAGGCTCCCTTTTCCATTACTAAGCAGTTCCATCAGTACCTTGTCCTTTTGATCAACTGTCATAGTTCCAATGAACTCCTAAACAGTATTGCAATGGTTATATTATTTTGTATTACATGATCAAACTGAAACCAAGGTAACTCTCTGGGTCATTTAAAACCGTATAAGGTATTTTCATACCCAAATTTTGTGATTAGGACCCGCAAAATCTGTTACTGCAGCTGCTTGGTGCTGAAATGGCACATTGTTACATGCTGCCTTTTTCATTCCACATGAACAGCCAGCCGTACATTTCAAATCTTCATCCCAGCATGGAGAGCCCCGCTTCTTTCTCATGCTTCATTTGCTGCATATATTTTTGGAACTACAGAACTAAAATGAAAGGAATTTGATCTATAAATACACCCACCCGATATCAAACTGTTTGCTATCTATAAGACGAGAATATAACAGACAAATTCACTTGTGTTTGACCTGCTTGGGCTGACAAAGCTAGTTTTTGCACTGTTGATGATTGGTGCACTGGTGATCCGTATGCATTTAAACCGTCCTCTAAATCTAAAAAGAGCAAGGACGTCAGGAGAACACATTTTATTTTTTTGTCTGTAAAATCCTACACTCAAAGTCTTCAGAACCAACACCTCATGTAATTTACTTGTGTTGGTGATTGCGGCACGAAGTGATTTATATTTGCTGGGCGAAGGGAAACTATTTTCAACTGTCGCTGTATTCTTGCTTTCTCCTTCGGAAAATGGCTGTTAACGAACGTGAAAGTATAATAACTCGATCGACTACAAATGCACTGAAGGAGATAGATATATGTGGTATCATTCAAAAAGAATTATCGAAATATCTGCAGTCAGATGAGCTGATTTCTGAAAAGTCTAATGACAATGAGCAATACTCTCGTCATTCAAATATTAGAATCTTCGGTCTGGAGAGTCACGACTCTTCAAGCGAAGCGGCCGAGGTTTGCACGAAAGTTGTTGTTGATTTTTGTAAGGATGAACTTGGCGTTGATGTTAAAAAGGACGAGATTGACAGAGCTCACAGTGTTGGCCGGCCTAATGGTAATAAAGCGAGGGCACTCATTGTTAAATTCAAATCCCATTTCTCGAAGATCAAAGTTATGAAAGCTAAAAGGCAGCTTAAAGGCAAACGAATCTATGTCAACGAGGATTTAACAAAGCATAATTTATGGCTCCTGAAGCAAACTAAGGAAGCGTGTAAAGGCAAGGGATATGTATACACCGTTGACGGTAATATTTTTGTCAAGTCAAGGGACAGCGATAATCTGATTAGACTTTGTAGACTTGTTGACCTTGAGCACCATAATTATGAAGTTAGTTTCTAATTTTAATCCTGTTATTCCGCAGTTGAAACCATACCTGCATTACGAACAATGAACTTCTTTACTATGGTCTTTTCTTGCTGTTTTATTTGTTTGTTTTTGTGTTTTATTGAGATAAGTTCTATCTGCATATGTTGTATTAATATATATTTGTACTTGATATAATATATGTGTTGTACAGGCTTAAATCTTGTGAGTGTGCAGCCCGAGGTAAGTTTATATTGCCTATTTTGTATGCTTGATGGGGGTTTGTCTTGAAATTTATAGGGCAGCTATCGGTTGTTTTAATTTTCCGACTCAGACTAGTCACCTTTGTCTATCTGCCACCTTCTCCCGTGTATTCCCTAATTTATTTTGTTGCATATGCTTGTTTATTTATGTGTTCCTTAGCAATATATTAATTTTGCTAAGTGGTGATATTGAAATTAATCCTGGCCCTTGTCACAATTTTACCCTTAATATTGGCCATATAAATGCAAGAAGTCTCTGTGATGAAAATAAATTTGATGAAATTAGTTCCTTAGTACTAAATGAAAAATTTGATATATTTGCAGTGTTATTTGCCATATATATTTGCCATGTTATTTGCCATATATTTCGCAAATTCTCATTTGACGGGTGTTCTGTTTAAACATTTTCAGTATTGGCTGACTGAGTTCTGAGACCTGGTTAAACTCAGGAATTTCGAACGATCAATTACATATTCCAGGTTTTAATCAATTGTTTCGTCTTGACAGAAGTGATGGTAGAAGAGCTGGTGGAGTTGCTCTTTATACTTTCTGTTCTATTGTAGCTAAAAGGATGTTGCATTTAGAAAAGTTACCTTTTGAAGTGTTCTGGGTAGAAATGACAATCAATCGTCTTATAACTGTTTGCGGGGTGTGTTATTGACCTCCCAATTATAATTACTATGCCAATATTCAATTTTTAAATTATTTACAATGTTGTGTTCATAACGTTAATTTAACTCCTGGGATTAATATTCTTTTAAGGTTACTTCACACGATGAACGTGCGTTTTCGTCTATTGCACATTGCTCAACGAATTTTAGGTGTAACTTTACCAAATTTTCAGTGAAGAAAGCCAGGAAAATGCTGATTTCGCAAATTCTCATTTGACGGGTGTTCTGTTTAAACATTTTCAGTATTGGCTGACTGAGTAAATATGTAGGTACCTTCATAAAAAAATCAAAATATGTTTATAGTTTACCTCAACGGTTGTCTAGATATCGCAATTCAAATCTTCATAGGCATGGTAAAAAAAATGTGTGCGGAAAATTTCTCTTCTTTAGTGGTTTTTCTGATATGCCCTGATTCTTGGATTTGTCACTGATAATTCACGAAGTTGTCAAAGAAAACGTCATATCAGAAAAACCATTGAAGAAGAGAAATTTTCCGCACACGTTTTTTTTACCGTACCTATGAAGATTCAAATCGATATATGTAGACAAACGTTGAGGTAAACTATAAATATATTTTGATTTTTTTATGGGATACCTATGTATTTCTTTAGTCAGCCAATACTGGACATGTTTAAACAGAACACCCATCAAATGAAGATTTTCGAAATCAGCATTTTATTCGCTTTTTTCACTAAAAATTTGGTAAAGATACACCTAAAATTCGTTGCGCCATGTTCAATAGACTAAAACGTACGTTCATCATGTGAAGTAACCTTAATTGGTGACTTCAATGCTCAGTACGATTTCCATGATGAATCGCTAAGTAGTAACTTTGGGATTTCCCTTTATAGATGGTTAGAATGTAACAATCTTTCTCAAGTAATTAATGAACCAACTCGTGTCACAGCTAATGGGGGTACGGTTCTTGACCTTATAATTACAAATACGCCGGGCTATTTTGTTGTGTCTGGAACTGTTAGTCCTCCGAGCATGTGTGACCATTCAGTAATATATGCACGTATGAATATATCTTTAGTCAAGCCAAAGTGTTATAGACGTACTATATGGGACATGTCTAATATTGATGTCCATAAAATGAGTGATGCCTTTGCAGTTTTAAATTGTGATAATTTTTTAATCACTGACGATATAAATTCTGTCTATGATCAGTGGTTTGAAAGCTTTTATCAGATTCTCGAATCTCATGTCCCTCATAAATCTGTTGTTATTCGCCCATGTGATAAACCGTGGATGAATACATCGATTAGGAAATCGATTAGGAAAAGAAATAGATTATTAAAAGTCCATCTTTGTTCTAATACTTCATATAAATGGGAGAGATATAGAAAACAAAGAAATCAAACAACTTAAATACTATGAAAACTTAAATTTAAAACTACAAGATCCAACTGGCATAAAGGATTAATTTTTAAACTAAAATCTATAGGTGTGAGGGGTCCTCTACTTAATTGGATTGTTAGTTATTTGTCTCAAAGAAAACAAAGGGTAGTTATTAATGGTCAATCATCTGATTGGGGTGACATCGAAGCAGGTGTTCCTCAAGATCTGTATTAGGTCCTTTACTTTTTCTAATATATATTAACGATATTACAACGAATCTTCAAAGTAACTGTTTTCTTTTTGCTGATGACTCGTCCCTATTTCAAATTGCTAGTGATCCCCATAGTACGTCTATATGTCTTAACCGGGTCCTGGTCATGTGATTGGTTAGTCACTATTAATGCTGAAAAAACTGAGTCGATTACCTTTTCCACTAAATGTATTAAGCCCTATCACCCTCCACTATTTTACAATAAAACTCAAATAAAAGAAGTCTCGAAACACACTAATTTGGGTGTTACTCTTACCTCAAATCTTTCATGGAAAGCCCATATTCTTAAAATATATGAGAAAGCCTCTAAACGGTTCAACCTTTTAAAGGGCCTTAAATTCAAAATTCATAGAAGATACTCTAGTTAAATTATATAAGTCATTAATAAGACCAATTATGGAATATGCTGGTGTCCTTTGGGATGGTTGCCATGCTAACGAAGCCGAGCTGCTTGAGTCTTTACAATATGAAGCCGCTATTCTGGTGACTGGTGCGATGAGGGGGACTGGCAGACAGGCGTTACTAAATGAGCTTAACTGGGTTACTTTATAAAATAGAAGATTAGTTCATAAACTTATTTTATTTTTTAAGATCGTTAATAATTCAACTCCTTTATATTTACGTAGTGTCTTACCACGAACAGTTATACAGCGATCGGGTAGAATTTTGAGATCAGCTAATAATTTTTCCTTATTTCCCACTCGAACAGAAAGGTTTAAAATTTTTTTTTCCATCAATGGTTAAGTCGTGGAATAATCTTGATTCTGATGTCCAAGATACTGCCTCATTGGGGATATTCAAAAATACTTTAAACAATTCATATTATTTAAGGCAGAATACTAATCATTTGAATGTGGCCATTGACAGATACTCGTCTATACAACATACTCGTCTTCGGTTAAATTGTTGCACTTTAAACTATCATCTTTTTAAATTAATTGTATCAATTCTTCATCTTGCATCTGTGGTGATCCTTGTGAATCAGTCCTTCATTATTTCTTATGTTGTCCCCGATATGCTGCTCTACGACCTCCCTTACTCTCGGTTGCTGCACAATTATTGGGTGAACGTTGGAATCACAGCTCAGATAATCAAAAGACTAATTTGCTCCTTTGTGGGTCAAGTGAATTAACATTTAATGAAAATATGTATCTTTTTCAAAATGTTCAGAATTATATCAAGGAATCCTGTCGATTCTAATTGATTATTGATATGTGATTTCAAGTTCCTTTATACAGTACCATTGTTGCCTGTTTGCCTGTTTTTGTATACTATTCAAATAAATTGTAAATATACCAAACTGTATTTACTGTCCCTTCATACCTCCTTGTCTGTTTCTCAATATGTGTTTTTTTTATGTATTTAACCTACAGTACGTACTTGTTTTGTGACCCTAGTTATTATGTAGTCGAATGTTTGACACTTTGTTTAATTATTATCTTAGGAGTATTGTGGTGTTGTAACTTTTTAATGTAATTTATATCTTTATATATTATTAGCATAAGCCCCCTAGATGAGCATCTTGCTCTTGGGGCAAACGCGCGAATCTTTTTTCGCATTAAATATGTTTAAAACAATATTTAACTCTTTGTCCATCTCTGAGTCCGACATAGTAATAGAAATACCGAAAACTTTTACGTAAGGAACAAAATTCTGGAGTTACTGCACACACTAAATGCAATTTTATGTAAATAGGACATAGAAGGTTCCCATATGTAAAACATAAACAACAAGTGTGCAATGCATTACCCTGAGACTCATTATTTAAAATCCTAGGTAAATCCTTATACCAAAAAAATTAAAATGTTAAAGAAAATAACAAACTTTGTTGGTTTGTTGGATGTTTGGTTCGTTTGTATGATTTTGATTATGCACTTGTTGTGAAAGATTGCTACACTCACTTGTTTGCTTCGCTCACTTGTTCGTTTGCAATCTTTCACAACTTGTGCATAAAAATCATACATGCTCACCAACCATGCAGTAATCTCCAAGTATTTATAATAATAATAGTCTTTATTAAAATACTCAGATACATCCGTCTGAGTTTACAATCTAAAGGTAATTGATCTAGATAGTTATATTTACAATGTAAGTTAAGAAGTGTAAAAAAGTTTTAAATACATTAAAGTCTAAACAAAGTTATACAGACAACGATTTATGAACGACCTTTTGAATCTTTCTGTTCTCACTAGGGGCAGTTCATACTCATGCCCTCTAGGCCTAAGTAACCTACTTTTTTCCGGCAGCAGTTCAAGCAATGCATTGTCCTCAGTTGATGTTATTTTGTTCCACAGTTTCTTATCTCTCTTATCACGTATTTCTTTAATGTATGTTCGTTTTGATATATAACCATTCTTATGTGCACGTTTAAGGAATTTATCTATTTGGTTCAAATATTTACCATCATATACACAACCACACAGCTCAATAGCAAAAGTGAACATCGACATAATTAGGCTATCAACCAGCAGATCTAATTGATAGTCCATA